AATTGGCTCACAGAGCCTTCTCAGCACGCTGATTCCGAAAATCATGGTCTGTAAGGTGGGAATCTTTACCGTTCTCGAGATAGAACCCTCTAAAGTTTTCGGCACCAAAGACCGGGCCATCCCGATGTGACTGAAAATTGGCTCACAGAGCCTTCTCAGCAAGCTGATTCCGAAAATCATGGTCCCTAGGGTGAGAATCTTTACCGTTCTCGAGATAGAACCTCTAAATTTCTTACCACCCATGACCGGGTCATCCCGATTTGACTGAAAATTTGCTCACAGATCCTTCTCAGTTCTCAGCACGCTGATTCCGAAAATCATGGTCTCTAGGGTAGGAATCTTAACCGTTCTCAAAATAGAAACCTCTAAAATTTTCGACACCCATGACCGGGCCATCCCGATTTGGCTGAAAATTGGCTCACAGAGCCTTCTCAGCATGCTGATTCCGAAAATCATGGTCTTTAGGGTGGGAATTTTTACTGTTCTCGAGATAGAACCCTCTAAAATTCTTACTTCCCATGACCGGGCCATCCCGATTTGGCTGACAATTTGCTCACAGAGCCTTCTCAGCACGCTGATTCCGAAAATCATGGTCTCTAGGGTGGGAATCTTTACCGTTCTCGAGATAGAACCCTCTAAAGCTCTTACCACCCATGACTGGGCCATCCTTATTTGGCTAAAAATTGGCTCACAGAGCCTTCTCAGCACGCTGATTCCGAAAATCATGGTCTCTAAGGTTGGAATCTTAACCGTTCTCGACATAGAACCCTCTAAAGTTCTTACCACCCATGACCGGGCCATCCCGATTTGGTTGAAAATTTGCTCACAGAGCCTTCTCAGCACGCTGATTCCGAAAATCATGGTCTCTAGGGTGGGAATCTTTACCGTTCTCGAGATAGAACCCTATAAAGCTCTTACCACCCATGACCGGGCCATCCCGATTTGACTGGGATGGCCCGGTCGATTTGACAGACCATGATTTTCGGAATCAGCCGCAGCGTGCTGAGAAGGCTCTGTGAGAAAATTTTCAACCAAATCAGGATGGCCTGGTCAATGGTCATGGGTGTCGAAAACTTTAGAGGGTTCTATCTCGAGAAGGGTAAAGATTCCCACCCTAGAGACTATTATTTTCTAATCAGCGTGCTTAGAAGGCTCTGTGAGCAAATTTTCAGCCAAATCAGGATGGCCCGGTCTTTGGTGTCGAAACTTTAGAGCGTTCTATCTCGAGAACGGTGAAGATTCCCACCCTAGAGACCATGATTTTCGGAATCAGCGTGCTGAGAAGGCTCTGTGAGCAAATTTTCAGCCACATCGGGATGGCCCGGTCATGGGTGGTAAGAATTTTAGAGGGTTCTATCTCGAGAACGGTAAAGATTCCCACCCTAGAGACCATGATTTTCGGAATCAGCGTGCTGAGAACTGAGAAGGATCTGTGAGCAAATTTTCAGCCAAATCGGGATGGCCCGGTCATGGGTGGTAAGAAATTTAGAGGGTTCTATCTCGAGAACGGTAAAGTTCTCACCCTAGAGACCATGATTTTCGGAATCAGCTTGCTGAGAAGGCTTTGTGAGCCAATGTTCAGTCAAATCGGGATGGCCCGGTCTTTGGTGCCGAAAACTTTAGAGGGTTCTAACTCGAGAACGGTAAAGATTCCCACCCTAGAGACCATGATTTTCGGAATCAGCGTGCTGAGAAGGCTCTGTGAGCCAATTTTTAGCCAAATCGGGATGGCCCGGTCATGGGTGGTTAGAGCTTTAGAGGGTTCTATCTCGAGAACGGTAAAGATTTTCACTCTAGAGACCATGATTTTCGGAATCAGCGTGCTGAGAAGGCTCTGCGAGCCAATTTTCAGCCAAATCGGGATGGCCCGGTAATGGGTGTCGAAAACTTTAGAGGGTTCTATCTCGAGAACGGTAAAAATTCCTACCCTAGAGACCATGATTTTCGGAATCAGCGTGCTGAGAAGGCTCTGTGAGCAAATTTTAAGCTAAATCGGGATGGCCCGTTTCTCGCTGCTGGACTCGCTGCTCGCTGCTCGCTGCTAGTTTGACAGTCGTCTTGCCCCGCGATAATTTCTCTAGTTTCTGAAGAATTTTTCGGGACCCATGCTCTACTCATACCAGGGGGGTTCGCTCCCGTGCCTTCAGCATTACGAAAAACGGCAACAGCCCGTGAGCAGCATCAGCGCTCACGCACATGTTCAAGGAAAACAACGTGTGATTAGCTGCTGACGACGGCCCTCTCCACCAATCAGCGCTCGGTAACTCGAGCGCTGATTGGCTGGTAGCAAACGCGTCATATGTGGGTCTCTTTTTTTGCTATCAGTGAACGCGTTATTTAATACACAGTGGCCTATGGAGAATGGCACGCGGAATTGAAGGTCAATGTTTTATTGCTTCGTACATGCGAATGGGGGTATTTGAGTGGCATTTGACACCATTTTCGAAATCTACAGTGAATTTCTGATCGACTCATGTATATATTTTTATGAATTTGACAGTATTAGTGCTACATAGTCGGTGTTTTATGTTGGTGTTGTTTCTCTCGACCTTTGTCTTGGACTTTAAATATCTTTTCTAGAAAGTGCTTGCCATAACCAGGTCTAAACTGTATCTGTATAAAGGGAATATGTGTTGAATATGAGGGGAAAGTAGTAATGACCATTCTGCCTATCAAACTGCCAGAAGGTGTGCTTGTAAGGTGATTGAAACTGCAGTACGGGTTGCAGATGTGGGTTTGACATTAGCATTGTTGTTGTAACCCCACTTGCTCTAATAAAATGGCAACATGGGGTTATGTACACACTATTGCACAGCCTGGTATTAAGCTGGTTGATATGTGGAGGATAATGAAAGCATAAAAGAATAGGAGCGTTGCGTCTTGTGACTTATGTCAAGTCATTTTAAATCAAATGATTGTGATTGTAACTTTTACTTCAATTATTATTGCAAGTTTTTGACCTTTTTAATCATCAATTTTTATGTGTACCAATTTCATATGCCTGTGTAATGTCTGTGCAGCTTTGTGCAGTGTGCATGTCTTGAAACAAACCAATTTATTTTGTACCTTTTTGTACTTCAACAAATGTATGTCAAAGGACAAAAGTGTCATGTCTATTATCATTGACACTACTACAGCTAACTTTGCCTGTATTCCTATCTTTCAGAGGCATTCAATTCAATCTGCTTTCCAGTGCAGTACCAAGGAGGCTGCAACTGAAACTCGCACAAAGGCAATCAAGTGTCACTTCATCAGCCTACAGTAACAGCCCATCTGTAATCAAGATATGGATGAAGGAGCATAGAAGAACAACCAGTTCAAACATGAAAAGATTGTATTTTGTTTTGGACTATTTCTTAGCATAAAAGAACAGTACACTTGCTGCTTTTTATGTTTGCCCTGTGTGCAGTTTTGAATAATTTTAACCATGAGATGCTTTTGTCAACTATTCTCTTTACATAAGCTTCCTTTGTCATGCATGTGTAATTTTGAGTTTACATGCATAATGTAGGCACATTTCCATTGGCTTCATAGAAGTTAAAACTACTGCAAGCTTTGGTTATGGACATTGGTGCTATATATGATGCTTCAAATGTGTCCAGTAGTTGATGAAGGGAGAAGAGGAGTAGGACAGCTGATAGCTATTACCAAAAGTATGTGCTTGTCTGCACTTCGGGCTGTTTTACTTCCTTGAGTTAAAAAACCCTCATCTTTTGTTTCTTTCCTGTGTGCCCATTGTTTCCATGGTGCTATACATAAACGTCAAGTTTGAAGCTGGTATCCAAGTGAGCAAAATGTGTATTATTTCAGTCCGTCTTGAATCATTCGTCTTGAATTATATCCCTAACTGACATCCTGTTATTGGTCCTGCAATGTCTGTGCCTGTGTCCGCCCTTACCTCCGGCTCCAGCCTCCAACCAGCCCTGCTGAGCTCTGTCGCCGGCGCGGTGTTTCGCAACGTGCTGTTTCTCCACTCCAGCCGACAGCTGCTAGGAATCGTCCTGTGCCATGCGCCATGCGACACAGCAATTGTAAGCTGTAGGTCACATTCGGACTGATTGGCTCCGCGTATGTGCATCCGGCCGGGAGCTAGTCGATATCAGGGACGTGGGTCGGACTGTTGTGGCGGCGTGCACTGTGCTGGTTGAAGTTGTATTTCTGTTAGTGAAAAGCATTAATACATAACCGTGGCCGCAGCCCAATGTTATTGTGGATTTCAGAGGGAGTGGCCAGTCAGGAGGGCCCCATGTGGGTATGGATCCAGTGTCCAGTGGGATTGGCTAAGATTTCCGGCGATTGATAAACGCTTCTATGATAGTAAACCTATTGAGTTATGAGGGGAGGTCACGTGACGGACCTGACCTTACTAAACTCTTGTGAAAACACGACACATACGAACGGTAAGAAACCGACAACTCTTCTTTCTGCCAAGTGTCATCTTTCTGTGAAGGATTTCTTGGCACTGAGTGTTCAGAAATTGCGTTGTTTTTGGACTGTGCAGAGGCTCACGAGCGACAACATAGGCCAACAACCTGACCTTCCTTAAATATGCGACTTGTACCACAAGATCCAGCTTGATCAAAAGATAGGACATGTCAAATTTCATCTCTTTATCTCAAAAGAAATTTGAGCTATCGTAAAAACCGCCAGTGTGGCACCATATCGCCTCCGCGCGCGGTCGGAAGGTAAAAGTTCGCCGGCTCTAACTAAACAAATAGTCGTCGTATCGCAAATTCATTGACGGCGTTCGAAGCGTCGTTCAATTTACTTTCGAAACATATCCTAACATTACCATTTAACTGCCTAGCGCAATCACCAACAAGCAAAAGTTCCGCGCATCCCTCCTCATACAGTGTTAGCGGCGGCCGGCCGCCGGCCGCTGACCCACATTCGCGTCATCAGGGAATGCCGCAACTAATTTATTGTTTCCAACTTTTTTCCCGGAGCGTTCTACCTGGTTTATATAGCCTTGACTCATACTGCATTCGAATATACGCCAGTGGTGGCGTGTTGTTATATTTGGTTATAGGATTTTAGAGGCGGGGAAGAGCAGAGGGATATTGATATAAATCCAAATCTTCATAAATCCTATAAATAATTGGAGGGAGCAAGGCCGTATATAAGGAGGGAGTGGAAGTGAGTTCAGAGTTGTGTGTATGCTGTGCAGTGATGTATGTGGAGTGGTTTTGTAGAAATTCATGTATGGCCCCGGTTTAAACCTTGGAAGGTTAGTGTGAGTATTGTCATTCATTGATGGTGTGGTGAATAAAAGTTAAAGTGAAATGGCATTTTGATTTTGAATGAATGCTCATTTCCATTTTCATTAAGCGCATCCAAGCCATTAATTGTTATTGGTGTCGTACCTAGTTCAATAAAATATCATTGAACTAAGCTTTTTAACATTGATCTAAGCTTTTTATGCTTGAAATATGGTGGTAACGAGCTTTTACCTTACCTTACCTTACACTATGGGGAATGTTGAAAGGCAACTCGCCTGTAGGTCCCGCTCTCAACTTGCCTTGTCTGGTTCCATCCACTACCACCAGTCGGCAAGGAAAAGGCTCGATGGAAGGACGGGAGGAACCCTGCTTCATATGGCGCACCAGTTGTCATTATCAGAATACATCGTGATAACATACACACACACAACTGGATTGTTGCACCACCATTTAGACAATTGAGACATTTAGACAATTTTCCATTGAGCTCGTGACTGGTGGTCGTCTCTGGTCTTGAGAAGGAATCTTTTGAAAATTATTTTTGAAATGTCAATTATGACTACCAATACCTAAAAGGATAATATTTCTTATGAATTATCATAGTTCATAAGAAGTTAATTCATAATTTAATTATGATAAGTTTTTGGACCAACTTTTGAAAGATTGCACTGCAAAAGTAATGTGTCCTCATTCATCTCAATGGAATTGAGCATCAAGTTTCCAGATCAATCATTACAAAGTGACTATATGTTAAGCTCTTACCAGGAGCAATAAGTAGGTATAAGGACCACCAATCACACAACTAACAATGCTTTGTTTTTCAGGAAGAAGACTCAATGCACAATTGAGAAGAGGAGCCATCTAAGGCTGTGGCCAATAACTACCTGAACGGGATGTGGGGGTATCTACACAGGCTGGTCCCATCAGCAGCTGCTACATAGATCATCAGTGACAAGGTTTCATTCAAAGTGGTGCAGTTGGCTGTCTGTTATCTGTGTGGAGTAGAGAGAGACACTTCACAGTGCAGTGAGACACCCCTGGTCTCGTCCGGCTCGGTGGGCAGTGCTTGTGGCACTGGGTGCGCCTGTGTGGCACTGGCGGTGTGCCTGTGAGAGGGTGGCAGTGGTATCTCAATGTGAGGTGGGCAGTGCCAGCAGCTGACATGGTGATGAGCGGCTTCAGCCAGCTGGAGCTGGAGAAACGGCTGGCTCAGCTGAAGGACACAGCCGACAGCATCCAGACACTCTCCGCGTGGTGTCTGAAGCACAAGCACCAACACCGGCGCATCGTCAACAGCTGGCTCAAGATCCTCAAGCGAGGTGAGTCTGTTACTGGTGACAGGCTGTCAGTCCAAGGTGCAGCCAGCGAGCTCATGGTGCGGCCCGCGGCCTGCATGCGTCATCATGGGCATATCGATGAATACCAGCTTGGTTTGACATTTATAATCTGACTTATTATATGCATGTCCATTGTCGAAGCATACCTGAAGTTACAAGTTTGATGAATAGATCAACAATGTTGGTGCCACGATCCAGAGATGATGCTGTGGCTCTAATAAGACTCCACTGGTCTGATTGGAAATTGCTTGGGTCAATCGGGAAATGCTTTGATTTGTTAACCCGCGCCGTGCTGGTGGCCTGTGTTTTCCATGTCGTGCTGGGGAAGGGGAGGCCCCCCCCCCGTCTTACTCGGCTCCTGGGCCATGTAGTGACGCGTGATAAGCGGCATGTTAACCCGCGCGGGGCTGGGGTCTCCAGCCGAACGCGCGGGCTGGGGGGGGGGGGGGGGGGGGGGGTAAATTTTACCCCCCCCCCTGTTATCTCCCGAACTAATGGTCCGATTTGGAAAATTCAAACGCCAATCGAAAGCTCTCATCACGAACTACCAAAAAACGTGTACTTAATTTAAAGTTTGAGGTCAAGGTCAAGGTCAGGTCAAGGGTACAAATTGCAAGTTTCTACAGTATCGGCCTTGCACCGTAGTTGCCGAAGAATGGAGTCATGGACTGAGACTGATCGCCCAAAACGTGTTCTTAGGCTACCAAGACAATATTTGTTGCATACAATATCATTCAGAGGTCAAGGTCAAGGTCAGGTCAGGTCAGGTCACCAAAAACAAAATATAGAAAAGGGCATGTGCGACACATGTTTTATGGGTCATTTTACTCATAGAATTCAATAGGCACACTCAATAAGTGATATGGACCACCTCTGGATAAATTTCAGGTCGAGGTCAGGTCAAGGTCAGGTCAAGTGAGGTCAAATTTTGAAGTTGGTTGTTAAGGCCTAAAAAGGTGTCTATCTGATGCAGTTTTTCACGGCGAATCGAATGGTGCTATTTTTGTTTCCGTACGAGGTCTAGAACTTCCAAAAAAGTCATTTTCAAAAAAATTGTGTGTCGTGACGTCATAAAATTTTGAATAACTCCCACATTTTTGAACCGATTCTTCTAAAATTTGGTATGTAGGTGCACATAGACCACTTCTCTGACATATATTCCGGTTTTTTTCGATAGACTCAAAATTTTGGATTTTATAATGATTTTCCCAAAAAAGTCAGTTTTTTGAAAAAAAATTTAGGCCAAAATCCAAAATTTTCAAAAAACCGAGATAGCCATTTGATAGACAAAGTAAAATTACGTATAATCTTTTTTGTTACGTCTTGATTCCTTTAAAAATGAAGATGTTAGCGGCGTTTGAACTTTTGCCGTTTTTGAGGCGAAAATGGCGAACATGACGTCACTAAAACGTCAATTTCTCAAAAATTTTCCGACGGATTTCGCTCAAATTTTCAGGGAACGTGTCAAATTGATGTAAGAAAAGGTACTGAAAGTTTGGCGGCGCTGCGCGCCGCCGTTTTTGAGATATCGCAAAAATTCGCGAGGGGGGGGGGGGGTAAAATTTACCCCCCCCAGCCCCGCGCGGGTTAAAGGGCATCAATAATAACGAAGACAGTTCTTCGGTCATTTTTTGTCAGGTCAAAGGCCAGCAGATCACCAGAAGTCATCAAAGATCAAATTTTCAGCCACACTTCGCGAAAGTCTTTTTTTGGTCGAAAATGACGGTACCTGACGTCGTTCTGACGTGATTTGTGGCCAACCTATCATAGCCTTTGGAATTTTTTTTTTTTGGTCACAATGTGTAAAATTGATGCCCGGAGGGGTCCTGAAAGTTTGGTGGCGATATCTCCAGCCGCTTAGGAGATATCGACGGAAAAGGACAAGGGGGCGTTTCGGCCCCCCTACGGGGCGCGGGTCAGCCCTCGCCGGCCGAGGGGGGGGGGCGGGTGCTTATATGTTTTTTTCGCGATAGCTCCGAACACGCTAGCGATAGAGAGCTGAAACTTGGCATACCTGACCTTTGATTCAAGCCGGATCTTTTGGCACCAACCGCATTTTTGGGTCAGGTCAGGTCACTGACCTATGACGTCATAAGTGAACCTCTGCACGGTCATCAGATGTGGCAACTTCGCAACGCCCTCACTGCGAGAGGAGATGTCACAGGGAAATGAAACTTGCAGGATCTAGTATCCATTATGAGTCTCACAACTTGAATATCTCGGATTTTCCCTAAAGGTCATATGAGGTCAGGTCATTTTCGTGACCTCGCCATTATAAGTCAATGGGGAAAAATGAAAACTGCTATTCTGGCGCCGGGAACGATCTCCAACTATCTCAAGCACACAGAATCGTGATTTGATGCACTCCTTGCAAAGTTAGATGCGTCACTTTTGCAATGTTGACCTTGCGTGACACTGACGTCATTTATGACGTCATCAAGGTCATATTAGTTTTTCGTCAATAACTCTTGATCAAATTGAGCTAGCGAGTCGGGAAAGCCACCAAGGGACTCAGGAAGACCTGCCGAATCGAATGATATGCGACATGACCTCTTTCAACCAACTTCGTGACCTGGGGGTGCTGACCTGACCTTGACCTGAGGTCAACACCCTAAGTTGACCTGACCCGAACAAAAAGTATATCATTCGATGCGCCTGAGCGAGGCGAACACGATGCTGCCAAAATCGTGGCTCTGCGGCCGTTTTTTGCGAAGTTATTCACCAAAAACTGAACCGTACCTTGGGGCACTTGACCTGACCTCAGAGGTTATCGGTTGACCTAGGACCGTAAAATCGGGTACCAATCTCTGCGTCTCGTAACGGCGCACACGCTCGTTTTTTCCCGCGACGCGCTAGCTCCACCAGGGGCGAAACAGCGAGGGGGGAGTCGTACCCGCTCCCCCCCTCGGCCGGCGCGTATGTAGAAAACCAATAGGTCCGGCGAGGGTTGATTAAGCAAGTCCTTTAGTCTAGGAAGGGGCGATAAACAAAAAAGATGGTGTCCTTATTTGTAACAAAAGTGCCATACCATGCAATTTTTTAATAGAGAGGGACAATGTACTTTCCATAGGTGCTGCAGAACTGCTTCTCTCTTGCTAAAAATTGCGTTTTTACGTACGGAAATGTGTTTAAAAAATGTCGTACCTGTTTTATAGAAGCTACAGTAAAAATAGCATGACGCCTCAATTTTTCCTTGAGAAATAAGAAAGGTAATGTTCTCCCTTAAACTTGTTCAGTTGTGATGTTCCTTTCGTTTCAGGCATAATAAACAGCGTCACAAAAAAGCTTATCATTGTGTATTGCGTTTTAAATGTTCTTTTCGCAGTATGACGTCCGTTTTGTCGTGAGCAGAACAATTGTTTGACCTCAACAGGGATCAGAACTCAGAACCGTCTAGATCTCAGCATAGTGCCCACTGTCCATACATCCGCGCAGACGCGATCGGGAGTGGGGGGGGGGGGGGGGGATATTCGCCTCCGGGACATTTTCTTAAATAGCGGAAAACCGCATTTCCCCATCAATTTCACGCATTGTGTACAAATAATGACTATCACTTCTTAGGTCACTTTGAATGGCCCAACCTCAAATAACTTTTTGCAACTTTGTCAGCCGTGTCAGAGACGCAGTAGCTGACCGAACCCTTTTGTACAAAGTGTAGACTGTAATTGGATTGGACTCAAAATATCCGCCCTCCCCTTGCAAGTGATGTTATGGAAATATTTCAGTAAGGCCCAGGTTATCTGACATGGAGCATCCATTGCTCCAGGTGTTGATCGTTAAACGACGTGTAAACATTGTTCCTGATTTTCCTAGATTCAAGCATGCGGTTTTAACGGCTTCAAATTTCAGTGTTAACATCGGCAGTGCTTTCGGACGTAATGTAGCGCTAATGTGCTGGTACGTGTTTCGAGACGGCACTCTTTCAACACAGCGTCGGAGCGACTCCCTTTATTCAAGGTTAGGGTTAGCGATTAAAGAGATCTCACGATAGGCGAGCTGCATGTTCGCGAAGCTAGCAAAGATTCAATATAGTTCACACCACAGTTGAGGATTGGTTGGGATTTGGGGATAGAGGCAAAAACTCTCAGATAAGGAGGACATAGCGAAAATGCGCCGTTCATCACCATAAAACACCGTCTATTTGCTCGAACAGTGAACGAAGAAAAGTCTCCCACGCCACCTGGTGTTAGCCGCCGCCCGCAATTGCGCTCAGCCATTGGAGACTGCAATGCCTCAGCCTGATACCTTCGATACGGACAAACTTCCAAGTGTCTGCGCGACATGAAGATGTCATGCAACTAGGCTAAAACATTTTCTGATAGTGTTTTCTCACCAATACGCTCGATGAGAAAACATTACCAGGAAAATTTTAGCTCCGTTTTATGAAAATGTAATCCGCGGGGTTCTGCATTATAATAGGAAAACTCTTTATGTTTTTGACTCACCCTATTGAATAATGAACATGCTATTGGTTATGTTATGTGAGATGCATCGCCAAGCCCGAGTCCTCGCATGTTTTTCGATCTGCTCATCTCACATTTCCGTCCTCAAATTGGTCAAGAATGACCTAACATACAGGGTGTCCCAAAAAATAATTTCACACCTTTCCAGCTGCAATTGCATGAAAATAACAAACACGAGAGGTGCGCTTTTCTTACATATGTAGCCCACCTTCTCCCTAATGCGGGCAAGCTACGGTTCGGGACATCAGACATCAACATGTCCAGCTTCTGTGGACTGATCTTGGACCAAACAGATCGAACGTTCCTGGTCAGCGTGCCTTCAGATTATCCTGGTGCCATTTTATTCACCTCTTACCGGACGATCGCCTAAGATTTTCTATCGGCGACAGGTCGGGACTATTTCCCGGTCATTTGTCCTTCTCCCAGAATGCTGGGAAGTTAGATCTGCACCAGTCCTGCGTCGTTCTAGCTCGATGAGCCGGGGCGCCGACCTGCTGAAAGATGGCCCTGGACATGTTC